AAACAGCAGATATTGCTCAGTGTCCAGTGATTTATGCTGGAACAAACAAACAAACATCCAAATTTGATAGCTACATTAATAGTTCTGAATTGACAGTGACTGGAGGAGACTTCTATGAAAACGTCAATTCAGTGTAAAATCAAAAGGCACATATCCATAAGAAGACTCTAGAACGGCAGATCACACTTGTGGTATTGAGTATACCAGTTGTCTTTGGGTCACCATACTTAAAATGCATATTATCAAGTTAGAAAACTATGGAGAACTTTAGAAGAAAGGAAGTGTATAACGTGAATAGAAAGCAGTTCTCCCTCTCCTACAATGTTTCCATTGAGCCCACATCAGGAGTGTCAAACTCAAGGCCCGCGGGCTGGACCCGGCCCGTGGGGGTGCTTAGATCTGGTCTGCGGGGCCGCCAAGGATCGGCCAATAGTGCCTCTGCCAGCGAAAATGGAGCTCAGCCTCCCAAGCTCTGTTTTTGCTGGCAGAGGGTTGCAGGAGATACCACAGGAGCCAACACGAGTGATGTTGAGCTGGCCATGCCTACGCTGGCCACACTCACCCCGATCCCCAAGGTCAAACACAACTGTGATGCAGCCGTCAATAAAATCAAGTGCGACACCCCTGAACTACATGTAGGAAAACTCAGGATCATCAGGATTTTTGTTCACACACTGAAATTTTTTGCCTACACTTGTAACAATGATAGCCATTTTGGATGGTCTTAAAAAGGGAGTGAACAAGTTTACACCAGATCAGGCAACTAATAGTAATGACTATTTACAACTTCATAAATCTTTGGGCCTTTCCTTACTTGCACCTAATCACAGCACAAACCTGGGCTGACAACCTTTTTTTTTTTTTTTTACTGAATCCTCATCGCATTGCTTTCCTTTTGTGTCTAGCCCGTGAATGAGACTGGTTTAACTCATTCTTAGCTGCACCATTGTTAAAGTATGGCTAAGTACAGCTTTCCCTTTAATTCAACAGTGTTCAGGAAAGGAGAGGAGAGGAAAGGAAAATGTTCTTATTGTGTATTAGCAAAGGTGATCGACGAAAGCAAGTAAAGAATTTCACAAATTCATCTGGATAAAAACAGCTCTCTGAGCAAAGCTGTAGGAGGAGTGAGTGGAATGATAGGTCTCATTAATTTTATCAAAAGTAGCTTTAGTGCAAATACAATTTTGTTGTCTGCTAAAATCTAGATAGGTTTACTTAGCGAGAAAGAGATGGATTCAGATTTATTTTGCCGTTCTCTTTTGATCTGGCTTGTCATTTCTGTGTCATGTTCTACCTTTCCCTCTATCTACCTCTTTTTATCCTCTTGCTTTATGAATACTTAGTAAATTTGGCTGAAATGTCTAGATAATACTTGGTCTCTGTACAGGTAGTCCTCAACTTATTTGTGGCCAAAATTTATATGGTTAAGTGAGAAATTTGTTAGGTGAGTCTTACCCCATTGTACAACTTTTCTTGTCATGTTTGTTAAGTGAATCACTGAAGTTCTTAAATTAGTAACAGGGTTGTTAAGTGAATCTGTCTCCCCCACTGCCTTTGCTAGCCAGGAGGTTGCAAATGATCCCAGGACACTGCAACCGTCATAAGTATGAAACAGCTGCCAAGCATCCAAATGTAAATCATGTGACCATGGGGATGCTGCAACGGTCATAAGTGTGGGAAATGATCGTAAGTCACTTTTTTAGGTGCTGTCGTAACTTCGAATGGTCACTAAATGAATTGTAAGTCAAGGACTGCCTGTACCTGTCCATGTGCATTTTTTCAATCCCTTCCTTTCATTTTTTCAGATCAACTCTTCTCCCCAAAATTGAAAGCAAAGCCTCTTTCCATGCTACTTGTTTATCTCTCTCTAAATTTTCATAAATGAGTTTTCTTCTTCATTGCATGTTGGTCCTAAGATCTGGCCCATAGGGCCACCTTGGAAGTAGTGATGTGCTTTCTATTGCATTATTGCTTATAAAAATATATGCATCTTTCTTTATTTCATAATACACCATATAAAGAGTAGCAATAATACATTTCTCACATTTCTTTTTCTTAAGTTTTCGCGGGTACTTACATGTATGGTATATATATATATATATATACACACATACAGAGAGAGAGAGAGAGAGAGAGAGAGAGAGCACAAACAGTGCATAATACTTCGTTCAGAGAAGAAGCTAACCATGCCACTAAGTCATGCCAATAAGCCTGCCAGGCCAAGAAAGCAAGTGTCATGGGGTTGGAGGGCTCTTTGATCTTTAGTTAGAGCTTAACTTTTAAACAATTTCAGTTTTGCTATTGTTATTTGTTTGTTTTTAAGCTGGAGTAGGATACTTTCTCCACTGATTCAGTGCAACATTTTTTTGTCAGCCCTTCCTGCACGGCTTGGAGACAACTTCGCTCGGAGGATTTACTTATCCATAATATTTCTACTTTAAAAGAAGACCAAGAGAAATATTTCAAAAGTTTTATTGTGGTGTGCCTTGAAGCAAACTAATTGAATTTTTCCAACATTAGTGTCCTCTAAATGATGTACTAACTCAAATTTTGATCCAGTTCAACCCAAGAAGTTAGTGTACCTCTAATTATACTGTCTAGAGAAGAAACCATTTGGCCCTGACTTCTTGCCTTTTCTTTCTGTTTGGAGAAATACTTTCACCCTTGGAAATCACCTTCCTATAACTTTCCTCATTTCACATTATTTTGAACTTCAGAGTTGTCCAAATAAGGCTGGGAAAAGAAACTGGCAAACCAGCATAGACAAACCCAAGCAGAGTCCAAGAACTGAACAAAAGCCTCAAGACTGCTTCATTCCTCCTGCAGTGCTCTGCCTGGTAGATGTTTTCTTCTTGTTGGAGATATGCTGAAGGGGAATAACAGCATATCAGTCATACCAATCATACCAGCCATACAGTCAGCATACTTACAAACAACTGGCACACTCTCAAATGAAGACAATGCAACTCAGCAGGAATTTGTAACAGATGCCACAGAAGCAAGACAGCCATTGCCTATGCAGATGTCTCAGCCCTGATTTCATAGCCTTCATTGTGTCTATGGCAGAATATAAGTCTGACTTTCATGTTGACGTCTTTTGCAAATCCCTATTCATACGACTAAAAGAGCTGATCATTATAAATTCCCAGTCTGGAAAATAAAGCCAATTGGGTCTGCAACATATGGAACAAGCTACTATTCCCACTCAGGCTCAAAAAGATGATGGAAGGTCACTGAAGATGATTCCACCTATTCATCACATACTTCTCTAAGCCTTTCTTCTTTCTCCATCCACGGTGTAGGAAGGACCTGCTCCTTTCTCTTTTTCTCATTGATCAATGCTGTAGCCATATGTGTAGGCCTTATTGCACCGTCTGTGTGACCAAAGAGATGTGCCAGAATTAGAGGGGAAGGGAACTCCTTCTCTTTCCCTGCCCATTGCTGGAACAGCAACAGCACAAATTATGGAAATTGTGAGTGTGAGGTGATGGTGGTAGCTGGGCAGTACTATAGATGGAATAGACCAGGGTGTCAAATTTGATTGCATTGAGGACCGCATCAGGCTTGTATTTCACCTCAGGGGGCTGGATGTGGGTGGGTGGGGTTGGTGTAAGGGTGGATGTGGCCAGCTCGATGTCACCTGTGTCAGGGTCACCTGTGATGGCCAGGGTAGACCTGGGGGATTCTCCTGCAGCTCTCTGCCAGTGAAAATAGAGCCAGGGAGAGCCGTCCTGAACTCCCTTTTCGCTGGCAGAGGCACCACAGGCCAATCCTTCACTACTCCCAGGGTGGCCCTATGGACCAGATCTAAGCACCCCCAGACTAGATCCTGCCCACGGGCCTTGAGTTTGACACCCCTGGAATAGACCATTTTAGGTCTCCAAAGATATTGATTCCTCCATCATCATGGACACCAAAACAGACTCAATATTATTCTGAAATAATTTTCTAAAAATTGTCAGAAACTTTTCCATGTGCTTTAAGAGCAGAGCCTGGGTTTGAATGGAATCAGAAGCCTCTCTGTTTAATGAGAATCAGAGTAATTTAACTTTGGGAGATTTGTTTATGTTTTTTCACTTCAGATTTGATCAGAGCGGAACAGTAGCAGGTCCAGCATTTAGTTTTATTCTGTTTAATTTGCACTCTGGAAATATAACTTAATAACAAAGATTTACTAAGGTTGTATTTGATGATACATTAAATAAAAAGGCAATGTTTTCTTGATGTTCCATCATAATATTACCCTGTTGACCGTGATCAAGCAGTTCACATAAGGAAGATGAGGAGGAGGTGTTACAAAGCAGTTTTGATAAACGATAGAGCTCTTTTCATCTTAGTTTTGTTGTGCTTGAATGCTTAGGTTATCAGTTTGCCTCTGAACATAGAGAAGCAATGACTGATTATTCCTTTAGTGTGAACTGTACAGGAAGAATGAAAAATAAATACTGACACTTGTTTCTTAATAGTTGCTGGTTTGCAGCAGAAAGTTGTAAATCTATTGGTCCGATTGCTTTTTCCTCCATTGGCTCATCCTGTGCCGCTCTTTTTATGTGTAATAATTACAAACATCTGCTTTCTGATCTTGGACTGAGTAGAATTGTAGAAGCACTTTCTATTCAGAAGAATTGTAACAGCTGTTTTATTTAGCCTTGGGCAGCACTTCCTGTTCAGTCTACAGCTGTCTTTCTGTGTCCAATTTAGGTTTAAGACTTTCTATCTTTCTGTCTGTCTTTCTTTCAAAACTTTTTGCATTACAACAGAGAAGGAGAGGAAAAAACTAACCCAGATCCCTTCGAATATAATTTCCAGTGGAGGATAGTTGTAATCACTTAAGATTGCACTGAATGTATTGGAAAATTCCCAGATCACATCTCCAGTAATAATAAGTAGTACACTAACCATATCAAGTAATCATACATCACATATATTTGCACAATATGCTAAGCTCTTATTAATTTTAATCTTGTTTTATAAATCCAGCTTATTTGGTTTCCTTATAGTACAATGTATATTGCGAACCTAGGAGCTTACCCATTGAAAGAAGGCATTGTGGATTGTGATCATGAAATGATCACTTTTCTGAATGAAGGTTGCAGGGATGCAGTGCCACAGAGGCAATAACAGGTTTGTAATTTGGACTAGAAGATCATGGAAGGAACAATTGATAGGGGTGATGGCTTCAGGTGTAATTCTAAATTAGTGGTACATAAAGCAAAATACTTGGGAGCAGTGGTGGGATTCCATTTTTTTTACTGTTAGATATTCAGTGGGGAAAAGTCAGTGATGTCAGACTTCCCCCATTGGATCATTTTCCAGGCGGGAAAATGAACAGCTGTCAGTGGCTGAAATTGTGGACAGCAGCCTGTAAAAAGAACAGCAGGCACACTGGGCGGCAGTCTTTTGTTCAGAGCTAAATAAAGAAATCCTTTCCTTCTACCATTGTCCTGCCTCTTCAATCTAGCCCATATCCAACATATCAAACATATCCCATATCTAGCCCATATCCAACATCTATCGGTTCTTGGTGGCCATGGCAGGGGAAGGATACTGCAGAATCTCCAATCAGAGGTGGGATTTGCCGGTTCTCCGAACTACTCAAAATTTCCACTACCAGTTCTTCAGAACTGGTCAGAACCTCCTGAATACCACCTCTGCTTGGGAGAGGAATAAGTAAAAAAGTCAAAGCTAAACTAATTTAAAATAATTATTTCTAAAATAATTATTAAAAAAAATAAAAAATGAATACAAACCAATGCAAAGGAAAGAAGGAAGAAAAATTAAAAAATAAATACAAACCAATGCAAAGTAAAGAAGGAAGAAAAATGAATAAAAAAGAAAGCTAAAAACACAAAAGAGAAAGACAAGTAAAAGAGAAATAGAAAAAAAGATACAAAGATACAAAGCTGCTTCCAATCTTCTTCATAGCAGTTATAAGTACAATTTTAAATTTACATATCTTGTTTTTTAAAAGTTACATAATGACTCTCTTCTTTACATAATCTATCCTATCAATCAAAAATATAAATCGCAAGTTCATTTTTTTTTCTGTTTTATGCACTAAGTCCAGAGAGAGGTTCCAGTCAGGAGTAAACTGTCTGTCTTTTGTCTTTTTTCTAACTGCAAAGCCAAAGAGATGTTGAACAACTGGTCAACCCTTCCCAATGGACAAAATATTGAGAAGATTTGAAAAAGACAACTTAATGCAGACAAACAGAAACAGTTAGCCTTGCTTTCCTTGAGCGACAGATTGCAAGGAGCAGCTGGGAGTTTTCCCAAAGCACCAAATTTTTAAGGTTAATGACAAAAATTAGTTTCACTTCTTTAATGTCCTAATGTGTACTAAGCTGAAAAATCAGGGCTTCTTCTTATGTTAATTCCTGTGAATCAGATTTTTCTTTGTCCTCTTAAAATACTTGCCATCTAGTTAAGCCTTTCCTCTAGCTTTTCCTTAAGCCTGCACTGAGATGCAGTTCCCATGCTCCAAGCTTGCATTTGGATTCTGGAGAGAAAGCAAAATAATAATAATAATCTCCCTTCTCTTCCCGTTATCCACAATCTGACTATATTTAGCTGGTATGGTTCTTTAGAAAAATAAAAGAGACATCAACTTAGCAATTCATGTAAATATTCAGCCAAACTCACTGCCAGGAAATATTGGTATAGTTAAGTTAATATGTTTCCAAGAAATCTTATGCATGTTGACTCAAAAATAAGGTTCCTCCCCTCCTTCTTATTCCATGGTGTTTTATTTTACCCCATGTAAGTGAGTTGGGTTGCAAGCTTGACTGGTATGAGAGCAAATGAAGAGAATGTGCCCTATATTTTTTTCCTTATGTTGCCTGATGAAAAAAGAATGATTGGCTTTTGAAAAAAGATCTCAAAATTATACATGGGAAAGACCAGAATTATTTCCAAAGGGAGAGGGACTAAACATTATACCTATAGTCCCATGTAAAATGTTTCAAGAGTACATAGGATGTCTGAGTGAGATCCTGAAAATAAAGCACACCAAAAGACATGCAACGCAGAGAAAAGAATACCAATAAAAGAGAATATTTTTAACTTGGGGTTGAAATGAAGGGTCCCTGGTGGTCTCGGAGCTTGGTTGCCTTCTTATAGATGTTTCCTTACCCAAGCTAGGTAGTATCATCAGTGCTAGTAATAACGAGTTGGGTTTGCTCTCAATTTAGAGAGGAGAATGCACCTTAATTAAATTCCTTGTGTGTCCAATCAGACTTGGCCAATAAAGAATTCTATTCTATTTTTTAATTAAATAGCAGCAGTACAGTAGTAATAAAAAGTAAATGTTTCCATTTATAGAATAGAATAGAATAGAATAGAATAGAATAGAATAGAATAGAATAGAATAGAATAGAATTCTTTATTGGCCAAGTCTGATTGGACACAGAAGGAATTCGTCTTGGTGCACATGCTCTCAGTGTACATAAAAGAAAAGGTACATTAGTCAAGAGTCAACAATCATAAGGTGCAACATTTAATAATAGGCATAGGGTACAATAAGCAATCAAATCATACTAGGATATCATTAGGATACAAGCAACAAGGTTACAGCCATAGAATTATCTTGCTTGTTCAAATACAAGAAATGCACCCATTGTGTTTTGGACAGATTGCTAAACTTGATTAACTTCTAGTGATCTAAAACAAGATCAAATCCATGTAACTAATGAAATGTATTCCTCCTACATCATGTGAAAAAATTCTAATCTATGACGATTGAAAATATCATCATGTGAAAGAAGGATAGGAAAACAAGAACCCTTCAATACAAATAGGCTTGTCATTCCTGTTTACTGCACAGTCCAGCTTATTCTTGCTCACATTGTCCTCCTCGCTTGGGGGCCTGTCATCTTTCCATGTATCAGGAAATATGTCTGGCTTTCTTTTGGATAAATATGAGTTTTCTGTGAAGAATATTTTGATTCTGACATTTTAAATTCCTGTTTCTAATGGCTATTTAAAATATTACCCTTAGGACATTTCCCCCAAGATAATCTTGTTCAAAAGATTTACATCCATGCCTGTTTTATTATTGTTCTGTATTTATATTTTATATTCTGGTATGACCTAATGGTTAATCAATGAAGTAGTACTATCTTACTACTTTATTGTTTATTTGAACGTATGTTGATTATTTTTTAAAAAAAACTAAATCTAATTTGAGCATCAACTAAGTTAGTTGCATTACTCTTCAATATTTTCATTAACGACTTAGATGAGGGAATAGAAGGGGAACTTACCAAATTTGCAGATGATACTAAGCTGGCAGGAATAGCTAACACCCAAGAAGATAGGCTCAAGATCCAGATGGATCTTGACAGACTAGAACACTGGGCCATATCTAACAAAATGAAATTCAATGTAGAGAAAAGTAAAGTCCTACACTTAGGCAAGAAAAACCAAAAGTACACATATAGACTGGGTGAAACCAGGCTCAATAGCAGTAATGGTGAAAGGGATCTTGGAGTCTTAGTGGACAACAAGCTAAATATGAGCCAGCAGTGTGCAGCAGCAGCCAAAAAAGCTAATGCAATCCTAAGTTGCATTAACAGAGGGATACAATGAAGATCAAGTGAGGTACTAATACCACTCTATAAAGCCTTAGTAAGACCACACCTAGAGTACTGCATCCAGTTTTGTTCACCACATTATAAAAAAGATGTTGAGACTCTAGAAAAAGTGCAGAGAAGAGCAATCAGGATGATTAGGGGACTGGAGGCTAAAACATACAATGAACGGTTGCAGGAACTGGGCTTGGCTAGTCTAGTAAAGAGAAGGACCAGGGGAGACATGATAGTGGTCTTCCAATATTTGAGGGGCTGCCACAGGGAGGAAGGGGTCAAGCTATTTTCTAAAGTGCCTGTAGGCCAGACAAGGAATAATGGATGGAAACTGAACAAGGAGAGATTTAACCTGGAAACAAGGAGAAACTTTCTGACAGTGAGAACAATCAACCAATGGAATAGCTTGCCCTCGGAAGTTGTGGGAGTGCCATCACTTGAGACTTTCAAGAAGAGATTGGACTGCCATTTGTCAGAAATGGTGTAGGGTCTCCCGCTTGGGTGCTGGATTGGACTAGATGACCTACAAGTTCCCTTCCAACTCTGATTATCTGTTAAATCTGTTAAATTATCTGTTAAATCTGAAATTATATGCAGATCTACCAAGAAATAATTCCTTTTATATTCCCAAATCAATTTAGAATTTAGCTTTCATTCTCACTGATTTTCCTTACACAAAAAGAGAAATAATTTACTATTATGTTGTGTAGGGCAACATGTGAACAATTGGATTCCAATTTAGTGTCCAGATTCTTTGGGCAGCCACAGCAGACTTTCCAGTGAACTTATGGGGTTGGAGACCAAGACAGGAATGCTTCTGGGAAGTTTCTGGGAGATAACCTGCTTCCATTCTCTTCCTTAACACACACACGTGCACACACACACACATCACAATTGTTGTTAAAACTGGGAATGCTGAAGAAGACACAAATGGAGATATTGGGGTCCACATGCAATTTGACAGATGCTCACTCTCATTCTGTGGGGACAAGAATGAACACACTAATTTTGCATGCCCTGATATTATTCTTGTTGCTGTCCACAATTAGAGGTTTCTATGCAATAGGGAGCCTCTTCTGTTTATGAATAGTCAATGAATTTGAGAGCTCTGAAACATCAAAAACACCTCTATGTGTATTTGTAGAGATCAAAGCAAATGAAAGTGAAACCAGCATATTCAACTGTGATCTCCCTTCTTCCCTCTCACCTCTAAAGAGCGTTAAGACCTGCCTCTGCCCATTGCGATGGAGGTCGAAGAATGATATGCAACCCTGGGTGTAGCTGGTGACAAGAGGGTGGTCCCTCTGGCTTTTTAATTTTAACTTTGTTCTTAATTCTGTTTTAACTGTTGAATGTAAGTTTGTACTTTTGTAGTGCTTTTTATGTTTTTATTGAAAACTACCCAAGATTGTTTAGGTGAGATAGGCAGTTTAGAAATGGGGTAACATAGTTGTTACATAGATGATAGATGGGGGGGGGGGGAGAGGGGGGGGGGACAGAGGGAGGGGGGGGGGGGAACGAGAGATTTTCTGATTGTGTCGCAAATGCATTAATGCAAGGGTCTTCAAATTTGACAAGTTTAAGACTTGTGGACTTCAACTCCCAGAATTCCTGAGCTAACATGACTGGGGGAGG